TACTTTCAGCTCACCGTTCTCTCTTGTGCCTAGTTTGGCATTGAAGTCTCCCATTAACACCGTATATTGGGTTTTGGAGGAATGCATGGCTCTAGAGATATCCTCATACATTTCCTCCACCTCCTCATCGGGGTGTGCCGAGGTTGGTGCGTAAACCTGTATGACCTTCAGCGAATACCGTTTGGTGATTCTGAGTATAAGGTACGCAACCCTCGTCGACACACTCTCAATCTTTACAACGTTGTTAACGAGAGACTTGTGGACGATAAATCCGACACCTCCTTGGGACAGATGGTCGCCCTCCCGGTAATAGAGCAAGTTGCCGGATTCGAGGATTACCGTGTCCTCCCCCTCTCTTCGGACTTCGGATAATCCTATAATATGCCAGCGTAACTTGTCTATCTCTTCTTCCAGCTCCACAATCTTCTCGTCAGTCCTCAGGGTGCGTGCGTTGTATGTTGCCAGGTCGAGTCGTTGTAGGTGGCAACCGAACCTCCACCGGAGATTCTTAGCACCCCCTGCCCCGCCGTTACCATGGTCGCCACCGTAGCCAGGAATAGCGGGGCCGCCGGGGACTGGGGGCCGTCTCTTCGTAACCTTCATTATGGGGGGTATATTGCCATAGTTGCCACGCTTGGCGAGCGGGTTGGCAACCGCAGTTTTTTATTGTATTTTGTCGTTACCAGGAAGATGCTGCTGCCCATCTCCTGCCTGTTTCCCTTTGTCGCCTTTTACGACACCCACGGGAAGATATGGGGTAGTGGATATTCTTAACCGCCACTACACGGCGATATTCCACTTAACATCAGGTGGACTTTGTGCTCGCTTGCCACCCATATTCTATAAAAATAACCAATTTATATCTAATTTTTAGACGTAAAATATAAGATGGTGGATTAACTGTATATTTAAATCTTCTTTTCGTGTTATCCTTGTTTTTTGAAGGTTAATTGCCTAAAATTAAACCTTTTCCTTGTTTACCTCTAATGTTTTACATAGTTCTATGAGAAAGAATTCTTTACTCGTGAGTGAATAAAAAACCGTGTTTGTAGTATTAGTAGTTATACTTATGGTATTGTTGTGTTGGTTTTACGTTGAAGTTTTCTTGTAGCAGCTGTGTAATAAACTGAGTAGTACTTACTTAGTGCAAATTTCTAGTTACCTTGCCACTTGCTACATATAAGTTTGTCTCGAGTATTTAAGCAAATTCTCCTCTGACTACTTATTTAAGTTATTAGCACTATATTCTCTTATAAAATATAAATTTAGATGGAATTATACAACTTTTATTGCTATAAATATTGCATCGACCCTTCATTATTTTATTAATTATAGGTATATTTGTTAGTATTGTGCAATAGTTTTATGTTGAAATTTATTTAAATGATGATATTTAAAATATTTCTATCATGTTAGTATTCCGTGTAAAGGCGATGTAAGACTTCATGTTATAAATTTTTACGTGATCTACAAATAAACAAAAGGAATATTATTAAAGGAATATTTTTGTACCTATTTACTAGCAAATAAAGAATTTGAATTTGAATTTTGAATTTGAATATTATTTTCCCCATCGGTGGTCCAGTTTAAGTTCTGCCTCAATCCGGTAAGCGAAGTGTAGGGCGGCCCCACTAGACGGAGTGACGATCTGGTAACCGGGCTATGTGGAATTGCTTGGGGGAGCCTATTATCAGTAGTAAGCTTGTCATGGACTACGAGTATTATGATGTTGATGATGATGAGGTTTTTATTTGTGAAAATGCCGTTTTCTTGAACTGGTCACTTTAAATCTATTGGTGTAGATTGGTTTCCACCATCTAAATTCAAATAAATAGTCTATATTAAATGTTATGTTATCCCTTTTTCAAAATCAGTTATACAAATTAACCTGGAGGCCGCCCGAAGGAGAAGGTTGATAAAGACAAACTGAAGGTGAAAGCGGATCCATCTCTTACATCAAAGCTTTTTGTTGTAAGTATCAAGGTTTTGATACTTACATCAAAAGGCTTTTGATCAAACTATCACATGCAGGCAATAAATAAATTAAGCAGAGAAAATCTTTGCGAGAGAAACAAGCAAGTTGGTAGTAAATGTTTTTCATAAACTCATAATATTTTTCATTAACTCAATATATGATACTCAAAAATGATACTCAAAAAGTTTGCTCGTATTAGACGATCACTTGGAAAAATACTATTTCGATTTTTTATGCAAAAACAGAGTTCCATTTTCTTTGCCTTTGTCTAATCTATTTTATATACAGCAATGATTTTGTTATAGTGCATCAATTTTTGCCTCTTAAGTAAAAAAATGGTCCAATTTTCAAAAGTTCTAACATTTTAGCTAAAAAATTGGCGAAATTAATGGAGTACTTCTATCTATCGGCATATGTACTTCATATAGCTAAGTTAAATTTTATTCCCTCTGCCTCCCCCTCCCAGGTGAACGTATCTAACTTCGATCTATTACGTACATATGCCGATAAATAAAAGTACTCCATTAATTTTGTCAATTTTCCATACATTGCTATCTAGAATGCTTCAACTATAAGTCAGCAGTATAATGTTAATATAACATCACTTTTAAGAACTTTACCAAAATAATGCCGTAAGTAAAATATAATGAAACAAATTGTTAGCACATTTTCAGTAATTTGTATTTTCCCATTATGCTTGCATTCAAAATTATTTACTCTGCGCCAACATCAAGATCAAATTTTACAAAAAAAAAATTACTTGCATTTAATATAGGTATATCAACCACTTTAATATGCGAATGTGTTTCTGAGTAAAAGTAAAATTTATGTTTTACGATTACCGACTTTTTGCTCGGGGGCGTCGATATGCATTTAATTACTTATTCGTCTTAATCCCTCTCAATCTCTTTTGTTACAAAAATATAAAATGTACAGACATCTGCAATTTAAACTTTTATTATATGTATAGATATGCATGCAAAAAAATACCTACGTTACTAACAAAGATACTATGCGAACGAATTCGGGGGCACAGCTAGTTACAAATGTATTATTTAATATTACTGATATAAATTTTAAGTGCAATAATCTACGTAAATTTAAAAAATTAAAAAAATGTAACAAAAAACTACAGTATTATTAGTATGTTTAGCACACTACAATCAGTCCATGAACCTTTCAATATTAAATGCTTCTCAAATGTTTAGTTAACCTAGAATGTTGACACGTTAAAGTAGATATACATCGCTTACATTCATGAAAAAATTAAAACTGTATAGCATTGAAAACTTGCAGTTTTACTGTAGAATGTGAGCAATGGACGTGCTTAAATTTTCGTGTATTAAACTCACGCAAACAAGAGCTTTGGATCAACCATGTGGAAAGTTAGAAAAAGCTTTCTTTGAATCTGCATACAGACTTACATATATAATGGGTACGATATATTTTGTGGTATAAACATTTTCTTCTCAGCATTTAAATCAAGCAAGAAAATCGACGATCGTGGAAAGATTTTATCGTTTAATCGGTTTCCGGTTGATAACTCACTAAACTTCAATAAGCCATTCGAGGAGGCTCCTCCACTCCTCAAACACCTTTCAACGTATTAATATGCCAAATCCTGTCAATTAAGTGAATTCAAATATTCCATTTAATTATTCATTATCACCATCATTAGAACTTAACAAGTCCGCTGAACATAGACATTCTCTTAAGTAACAGAAAACTTATTAATTCTTAACAAGTCGTCGCTCTTTTTAGTAAGGACCCGCCCTACTTTTTGCTTACATGTACGAGGTTGTCACTTTTCTTCCTCATCGGTTGTTGGTTCTTCAATCTACATGGCTAGCTCACTACCACTTCAGCTTACTGATGGATGCGTTGCGCTATGTCGGTTACTCTTCTTCTTCTGCGGAAATCCTCATTGCTTTGTCAATCACGCAGAGAAACTCCGAGCATAGCCACAGCGTATGTCATCGCTAGCAAATCGAACTGGTTGTACAATTTTGTTTTCAAGTTTTGAGGTATACATGATGAGAGAATGTATCTTAATCTCCCGAACGCTGTCCAGCAGAATTAAATCCACAGGTTGATCTGCTCGATCGAAGTTGCGCTTAGCTTTGTTGTCGAACAATTTGTCATGGGTAAATATTGAATAATTGAAAATTGGAAAATTCTTTATTGCAACAATAACAACAATTTATACATATATTAATGTGACTCTTGCTCCTGTATAAGGTTAACCTGTATAACAGAAGCTAGTCTATTCCTATATTTGACAAGTTTTTATGAATAAAAATAAACAAAACAAAAATATCAATGAAACAAAGATACGTGTACTCGTCGACAACTTCGAGCGTAGTGCTCCTAACAATTACTGACATAAGTGTGACATGGATATTACACAACACCTTTATCCTTAAGGTGCTGGAAAGTAATTGTTATCTCGCTGAGACTGACGTCCTCTTATCGGAATAGTGGCTTACTCTTGGTTCATTGCTCACACTTGCATGTGGCTTCAACGGTATTTAGCATTACGTAGAATATCTTAATCTCACTAAAAATCTCAGGTCTTCCGGAACAGACAAATCACTGAAAGGTTGCGGCCTGTCAATCTCATTTTAATTTAACCGTCGGGACTGAACCAGGTCTACTTACTGTGGGTAGCTTCTGAAAACAAAATAGTAGGACACAATAAAAAATTCCCTTCCCCCTTCTCCATGAAACCGACCAGCTGTTGAACCCTTGGTTTCCTTATATTGTCCCCTATGCCACCTCTACATCCTCATTCATATAGGAATTTGTTTGATTTCTAAAAAACTTCTTAATTCTAAAAGTAAATAAATTGGAAAACAATTACACCAATTACTTGCCGGTTCGTCTCAATATATGTGAAGGTCTCACTTTAGAACCAGGGGTACATTTTAAATAATAAACTTTCAGTTAACATAAGTGAATAAAATATTTTACACTTTTATGGCTTAAATAAATACTCATATGTGCTTCGTTTTTAATGAATTTGCAGGCCTTTCTACATCTGAACGAAGTCCATATTATTCAATTTACAGCGAAATCGTAAAGTCACTTATTGCTTTATTTATTTGTTGTGAATTGTGGAACCTCTACAGCGAGACCAATAACTTAAATAGCATCGTAGATAATATCAACGTAACTCTTATTCATCTTATTGGTGTCTTTCGATACAAGAATATGGTACTTACTTTTTTTAACTTTCTTTAACTTTACAGTTACAATTTAAAACATCACCTAATAATATAGGTAATTTAAAAATATGTAAAAAATTACATAACCTTAAATGTCAGCTTAAGCCATGTGTGTGTATGTGTATTAAGAGGCAACTATGAGAAATTTCAGATAGAATTGAATTAACTAGCATCCCAGGGATAACGATTTAACAATTGCGCGTATATCAGATGAAAAATGGACAGTTGAGGAGAAGTAGCGTCAAATATGCGAAACGTCTCATACTGCCTAACGACCGCCTCTTATAAGCGGAGATTACGCGTATATTTTCTAACATTGGTAAGAGCATGTTTCATGTAGCTGACTGCTTATTGGCTGAAAGAAGATGAAAGAAGAGTAGACACTACGATCCATAGATCACTAGAGCACTACATCCATAAGCAGGCTGTTAAAGATGGATCATGTAGTTGATATTATGGTGTAAAAATAAATTTGACAATTCCATCAAATTATTTTGCCCCGTGCATATCGTTGAATAGAATAGAATAGAAGACCGCTGACGGGAATCAGCGTCAAAATTGTGAGACGTTTTGTACCGCGATCGTCAATCCGGCCACCAAGCGTCACGAAAAGTTATATCCTCACAATAGTGGAAGAGATCATGCCCAATAGTTTTGTAAATTTTACGGGCTGATAACAATATCAATGATACATATTCATCGCATTACGAGACATGGCAGCTCATAGTGAAGCGCTGGCTAGTAACTTCATAGTTTTCAAGTAGGCCAAGTTTATTCAAGGTACAATAGTGTATAATCTATGTATTCGCCGTAATCAGTAAACTAATAGTTAATCTTAATTGTTGATTTACTACATGTTCGATGATGAAGAAAATATACTCTACATTTTAATTGAACACAGAGTGACAAACGAACACACATACCACCTAATATAAGTGTATGCTGCGATACGGAGAAAACATCTACCCTCGGTTAAGAAGCAATTGCAGATTGTGAAATCACCTCCCAGGACTAATAGGAATAGCTTAGGATATATAGAATACTATATCTACATATCTTAGGAATATTGTATATTCGTATATATGACATATTAGGTAGATAACTAATTTAGCGTATCGTTAAATATTTCAGGTTTGGAATAAATCCTTTTATAAAAAACTGGCGAAATCCACACAATCACCGCATTTTGATATTTCCACCGAAGAGAGAAACAAAATGATGGCTTTTTGGGCTTCTAAAAATGAAAAATATTTGAGATTATTGCTTACATTGGGATCTTGCACTTTGTCCGTGTGGTATTTTTTATATTTTATATTCATTGTTTATGTAGGTTACGTTTTCAGTACTGCTTAAGATTTTATCATGTCTCATTTGGAAAAATAAGGATAAGGTGAGTCTTTAACGTAGCATTTATAATCCATTGCAAAATAAATAAGGCGATGCTATTCAGTTGCCTACACTTTATGATTATTTGCAAGTACGAGATTGTAGAGTTCGAGAGATAATCGAAATTTATGAAAACTACTCGTTATTCAAATAAACGGAAGATGAATTTAAGTTCGATATCTTATTTATGCAAGATAAAAACCAGTCATATACGAACGTAACAGACATATATCCTTATATGCTAGATTTCAAAATTGGACATAAGTAAAAGTGAATCGAAAATAAAGTTTATTGACTTAGATAGAAATAATAAGACCACGGTCAACAGATACTTGAAAACAATAATTTACAGGGTTATTTCTCAAAGAGTAGCCAAATTTTAAACTTAAGTTCAAATATATAAATTGTAATGATATATTATTATTGTAGTTTTTGAAAATACGAGTAAATAAGGCTTCTGAATTTATTTGAAATTATCCCAAATTGAATATGATTTATGGGCAAGGTCATACAGGTTTACGCACCAACCTCGGCACACCCCGATGAGGTGGTGGAGGAAATGTATGAGGATATCTCTAGAGCCATGCATTCCTCCAAAACCCAATATACGGTGTTAATGGGAGACTTCAATGCAAAACTAGGCACAAGAGAGAACGGTGAGCTGAAAGTAGGGAAATTTGGAATAGGGCAACGGAACCCAAGGGGCCAGCAGCTGGCCGACTTCATGGAGAAAAAGGGACTCTTTATGATGAACTCTTTCTTCCAGAAGCGGCCCCACAGGAAGTGGACCTGGTCGAGCCCCGACGGTTCCACAAAAAATGAGATTGACTTCATTATGACGACCAGACGACAACTGTTCAGTGATGTCTCCGTGATCGCGAGGGTGAAAACTGGTAGCGATCACCGAATGGTTAGAGGCACACTGAACCTAAACGTTAAGTTGGAGAGGTCTCGTCTAATGAAGTCAACGCTCCGTCCCCCTCGTGCTCTGTTCCAAAGTCCCGAAACCTTTCAGCTCGAGTTACAAAACCGTTTTCAGTGCCGGAAGACCATGAGATCATGGCTGTTAGACGGGATATGAAGCTACATTCTTCAACAGACTTGACAGCATACAGGCATCTGAACAGACAGATCTCCAAATGCATGCGGCGGGACTTACGCAACTTCAATACAGCTCGTATTGAAGAAGCGATCGAGCGGAACCAAGGCTCCAAAGTCTTTGCCAGAGATCTGTCTGCCAGAAAGAGCCAACTGTCAAAGCTGAAGACAGAATGTGGCAGCATCGTTTCCGGGACACCTGAGATTTTGGGTGAGATTGAGAGGTTCTATGGGCAGCTGTACACATCATCGTTGGAGCCACACGCAAGTGTGAGTAACGATCCAAGAGCGAGTCTCATCCGACACTATTCCGAAGATATCCCAGATGTCAGTCTGAGCGAGATTAGGATGGCTCTCCAGCACCTTAAAAACGGTAAGGCCCCAGGCGAGGATGGAATTACAGCGGAGCTTCTGAAAGCGGGTGGAAGACCGGTACTTGAAGTCCTTCAGAAGCTCTTTAATTCCGTCCTGCATGGTGGCATTACACCGGAGGCGTGGAGCCGAAGTGCGGTGGTCTTGTTCTTCAAGGAAGATGACAACGCTCTCTTGAAGAACTACAGACCGATTTCCCTTCTGAGCCGCGTCTACGTGCTGTTTTCGAGAGTCATTACGAATCGTCTGGCGCGCAGACTTGACGACTTCCAGCCTCCCGAACAAGCCGGTTTCCGAAAGGGCTTTAGCACCATAGACCACATACATACCCTTCGGCAAGTTGTACAGAAGTCCGAAGAGTACAATTTGCCACTATGTCTGGCGTATGTGGACTATGAGAAAGCCTTTGATTCCGTCGAAATTTGGGCGGTGCTGCAGTCCCTTCAGCGGTGCCAAGTTGACTGTCGGTATATCGAAGTGTTGAAGTGCTTGTACAGTAGGGCTACGATGGCTATCCGAGTACAGAACCAGAGTACGAAACCTATCCAATTGCAGAGAGGTGTAAGACAGGGTGCCGTCATATCCCCGAAACTCTTCACCGCTGCATTGGAAGACGTTTTCAAGCTTCTGGACTGGAAAGGATACGGTATCAACATCAATGGCGAGTACATCACTCACCTTCGATTTGCCGACGATATAGTCCTTATGGCAGAATCGCTGGAGGACATAAGTACTATGCTCAATGACCTCAATAGTGTTTCCCAACGGATAGGTCTTAAGATGAACATGGACAAAACAAAGATCATGTTTAATGTCCATGTCACACCTATGCCGGTAGTTGTTGGGAGCACTAAGCTCGAAGTTGTTGACGAGTATGTTTACCTGGGACAAATAGTCCGACTAGGTAAGTCCAACTTCGACCGAGAGGTCAATAGACGGATTCAATTCGGCTGGGCAGCGTTCGGGAAGCTACGACACATCTTCTCGTCAGACATACCTCAAAACCTTAAAACGAAATTGTACAACCAGTGCGTGTTGCCAGCGATGACTTACGGAACTGAGACGTGGTCCTTCACTGCTGGCCGTATGAGGAAGCTCAAGGTCGCTCAGCGAGCTATGGAGAGGGCTATGCTCGGAGTTTCTCTGCGTGATAAACTTAGGAATGAGGATATCCGCAGTAGAACCAGAGTGACCGACATAGCCCAACGGATTAGTAAGCTGAAGTGGCAGTGGGCCGGCCATATAGCTCGAAGAACCGACAACCGATGGGGAAGAAAGGTTCTCGAGTGGCAGCCTCGTACCGGTAGGCGAAGTGTAGGGCGTCCCCCCACGAGATGGAGTGACGACCTGGTAAGACATGCAGGAAGTCGATGGATGCAGATGGCTCAGGACCGTGTTTTGTGGCATTCTTTGGGGGAGGCCTATGTTCAGCAGTGGACTTGTGAAGGGCTGTAATGATTATGGGCAATATTGTTTTTGCCTACCGATCGACTCTTACAAATGTCTGCGTGCGCATTAAAATTAGTTACAATAATGTTAATTACAATAAATTGAATTACCATGCATTTTGAATTTAAAAGATAAAAAACACAAATTGTGTGAGATTTTTTTTATTAATATCACCATTTGCCTATATTACTTATTGTGAACCTTCTCTGCAAATTTGGCCGGTTATTGCAAAATAACCTTTTATAATATACTTAGTAAGTTCAACAGAAATATTGTTTAGTTTTGTTTACAACTTTGAACATCATTGAAATTTAATAATGGTTGACATTTTTAATGGCTTAATAAATATATTATATTTTATGTATTTTTGGAAAAATATATAGATAGCTCTAGATTTTACTTTAATAAAATGCAGCTTGTATAGAGGTAGCTAGATAATCAAGTTTAGTATTCACATTTTCAGGTATGTCTACCCTCTTGTCGACGATTTGCAATATAACCTGCCTGTAGCAATACGCCTTCCCTTCGACTACCGCAACCCGACACTCTACCCCCTCACGTACATCTTAATTGTTGTCGCATTTAATTACGTCGCTTTCTGCGTAATTACCATTGACGTTATTATGCAAGCTCATTTGATACACCTTATTTGCCAGTTTACGATACTGGCGAATTGCTTCGAGAATATTTTGGCCGACTGTTCACCAAAAGGTAATTTTCTTCAACAATTAACCACAGTTTAGTTATGGGATTACGATGGCTGGTCGTGTGATTTGACCCCTGGCGGATTTTGTTGGGACAAGTTGCTTTCGATTAACGGAAAAAGGAAATATCCGCAGTGTTTCAAGGACAACGAAGAGTACAAAAACATTGCCAGCATTCGTGATTCTTGGAAAATTACATTGCAGAATAGTCAATCCAACCATGATAAGGTATGGTTTCGACACTTAGCTGCCAAAGGCATTGATAAACTGTAATGACACTTACTTGCACAGAACACAATTGTCGAAAATGCATTCAAAGTTGCCGTTCCCACTTAAATAATTATCTCTTATAGATGATATTTTATAAGAAAGGGAATTTTAATTTTAATAAATCGCTGAAGAGCAACATGACACATTTTTATAGAAATAAGGATGACAAACGAGCATACAGTCCACATGACGTTGGGTGGACGCAATCAACCATCCAAAGATCTTAGATTAAAAAAAAATTCAGATGCTTTTACGCTTCTTATCCCTTACAAAACACAGCATAATGTTTCTATTTTATGTTATTTTATGATATTTTGATGCTTTGACAAGTAATCGTATCCACGTTTACTTGTTATTATTAAACAAGTTTATTTTTACATGAATTAAACTGATGTTCATTAAAAAATCTGCGTGGATTTGAAATTTTGTAACTTGCTTACAAAAACACCTACTCTTGGCAGAATTGTATTCTGAAAAAGACAATTTTAAAATGAAAAATCGATGGTACGAGGCATTTTTCTTCTCCCGAAACCGTAGCTAGCACAAATCGAATGATAGTACGTTTTCAGCTGTCCGCCGATAAATGGCGCTAGTAGCATCAATGGATAATGCTGTAAAAATATTTAAGAATAGTTATCTCCAGATATGCCTAACGACGCTAATAATGCTTGATCATGACACATCTCGACCGTGTTTATCTATTCGAATTGGTTCGAAAATTCGTCATTTTTAGTAGCCATATTGCTTTAAAATGCTATTTTGTTATAAATATTTACTACAGGCAACCAATCAAAGCATTTAAAATTTTATAAACTAATAATGTTTACGTTATGATGGTAAAAATTATGTTAAAATTAAGATAATTTATTCACAATTTAAAGTAATTGTGGCGCTAATCACACTAACCCAAGTTGATTGAGGCAAATTTGGATCGCCTAGAAAAACATTTGCTAAAGCTTTAGAATAGTATGTTAGCAATAAATCCGCGTGCAAGAATAAAGAAAGACTCTCAGAAGAAGGGATCAAATTAAAAATTTGTTTTGTGAAGTATAGCGTCTCCCACACACAAGCGGCTTGTGGTGGCGGCCAGTTGTATTCGCTTGCAATGTAAGTGAGTCTTCCAATTCGTGCGGCCATATCGCGGCCTGCGAGCGGCTGACCATGGCAGCATGCACCGCCCCCACCGCAACGCGTGTGTGTTATGCCGCCTCCACACGCTTGGTGTTGGCCACAAACATCATACACGAACAAACACCAACCACAATCACCCAACACAAACACGACATCCACACGCTCGGCGAACGTGCTAGTATACTCCGGATGGGCTAACATGGCGGATGATATCTATAAAGGTTCCTTGTTGTGTAACTACAAAAGTCTAAAAACTATTAAATCAGGATATACTAAACTTATCGATATATAGGATATACTAATCTTATATACCTAATTTATTCGGATTTTATTTTGGGAATTGATGATCAATGATCCTGCTTTCACATTTTCTTATAAAAAGAGGTGAAATATTTGTTACCCAATAGAAACATTAATTAGGAGTCAATCACATTATTATTGAGAGGTCTCTAGAAAATATAAAAAAATATAGGTAGTAGATCTACTAATTTTTTGAAGTAGAATTGGTAGGAAACTCAACTTCTGAAATCATATTTGCCTCCGAGACAAATTTCGAATTGATAACATTGGCGTAGTGTATAATAATAATAGCCACTAGTAACTCCTTTCGCCGCCCGCAAGCCGCTAGCTCGCACGTACTACTAATTGATTGCCAAACGTGTGCATACATCGCAAACACGTTTGTCGAACATCTTTTGATTGGTGCATAAAAACCGACACCAACGCCTATCACTGACAATCACAAACAAACAAACAAACAGGCAAATAACCATCCACACGTTCGTGTTTGCTGTTTGGTGTTTGCTTATTGCCGTTATTTGCCAAGCGTGTGGATGCGGCATTAGAGAACGTGCGGTTTCTATCGGTGGCCGGTGGCCGCAGCGCGGTCAGTTGCAATTTTTTTTTACAACAGGCCGCGCGTACCGCGTGCAAAATGACGCAAAGTACAGAGATTTTAATAAAAACAGTGTAAAATTATACAGTACTTTATGATACTTCACACTGTGATTATTAAGGCGTTAGGATTGAAAGCAATATCTGGGATAATATTGCCGAATATAATAAAAGTAATAAGACTTCGTTACGTTTAGCCATGTTGACTGATGTCCGATCGTGGTAAAGACACCGCAGTGAATGGAGCAGTAGAGCTTCAGGCCGCCACTGCGACCGCGGTGGTGTGTTGTTGCAGCGGCTGGAGCCGCGGCTCGCGGTTAGCCGCCACCGCAAGCCGCTTGTGTGTGGGAGACGCTTAAGCCTGTTGATTGTGCCACCCATGGACATCTATATACAATCTCAAAAATAGAAGGCTACAAATGATTTATCACCTCTATAAAAATGCCATTCGGGCTCTGTTTTTCAAACTTCTGTAGCGCTGGTGGTTTTTGACATTCCTATTTTTTTCTGATTGTCGTGTAAGGTAGCTTTAGTAGCCATATACTAATAGACACTTGCAGTGAAGCTACTTGTTCATATGGTCGGCTTGAAGAAGCGGAACTTAGCAAGCTTCTTGTGAAAGGTATGTAATGTACAGGTGTCAATGAAGGAAAATTTTCTCTTTACACGCGTTTAATAAGACTTTTACAAAATACGAAAAAGTGATCACTGTAGCACTACTACCAACCACAGAGAAAAATCAAATTTATGTATATAACTTTAACGATTTTTTACAGGACCTCAGACAACAAAATATGTTTTTAATAATAAATTAAAGAGAAAATATTTAAAGAGATTCGACAATCTTGTGGATCAGCACAGGTTTATTTTGAAGTAAGTAGTCACAAAAAATAATATAATATATTAATGAATGTATTTTATATTCCAGTGAAGACTAACAGTTTTTAACAGTGGTAGAGTCACGCGGCAGCTTTTGCTGTCGCACGGATGGACCGGCTCGAACCGGGGTGGTACCACGACCTCACAGAATACCAGCGTGAAGTAGAGGTTTACCTCTGCGTTTCGTTTGGTGAGTGCAGGTGGCCGGAGGCCCTTTTTACTGGAAATGAGGCATTCCATCTTAGTCCTCACGGGTGACAACGCATCTGCATTTTGATTCGCAAACGAGGATAGATGTAGATGTCTATAGGCCGCAGCAACCACTTACCATCAGGTGGACTGTGTGCTCTTTTGTCACCCTTATCTTATAAAAAAAGACTAGGAAGAGACAGTGAGACAAGACAAAGAATTGAGTTATTTATTAAGTTCAGTTAAGTACAGCCAGAGTAACCGGCATAGCGTAACGGATCCGTAAGCAAAAGTATATATGAATAGAATAGAATAATTTTTATTCAATATAAATTATTACATAATAGTTATTGAAAGTCTTTTTTTAATTTAATACTGGTTCGGAAAATACCTCTGTCCTGGGAAGAACCAGCAAGAAACCCAGCGGGGAAAAAATAGGCAAACCATACGGACGGAAAGTTCTCGAGTTGCTCTCGAGTCGTTCTCGAGATCCCCACTAAATGGAATGACGCCCTGATAACATAATATGCTGAAGTCGATGGACGCTAGTGACTCAGGACCGTGATTTGTAGCATTCCTTAGGGGAAGCCTATGTTCAGCAGTGGACGTGTGAGGAGCTGTTATGATGTCGATAGTAATGATGCATTCGTGTGTGTTACTTATGTGCATGTGTTAATATATAATAATATTATTTCATTGTTTTTAACTATAAACATTATTGTTTAAGAAAAACATTGGAATTGAAGAAGATATTAAGTTTACCGATGTTGGGTCAGCTGGCATCCAGTGGGATGCTTATTTGCTTTGCTGGATACCAAGTTACGTTAGTAAGTAGATATAAAGTTTTATTAGTTGCTTATTTTAAACAAATTGCATCTGTGTACTACAAAAAGTTAATTTCAATAATGTTGCATTTTGGTAAGCACCTGGCTTACTCGTAAGTAGATCGGAGCACTTGAATATTATGGTGCAGGAAATTAGAAATACGAATGTTGACCGTAGTCAATTTAGTAGTCAATTAGAATTTATATTGCTATGGTGGCGCTATCATTGCGCCACAAGCGAAACGCACCATAGTTTAAATCGCGCTATCAAAGTTGCGAAATACTGCGGTATAAATAGAAGAGCTCCAAACGGTCAAATAGAGCATTGCAGAACATCTTGTCCGGCGGGAGATCTCCCCTTTTCCTTCCATGCTAAACTGGTGACCAACCGGCATAATTTGAACATGCAACACTCAACATGCAACCATCACATACTTCAAATTTAAGCTTTGGTCATTATCGTCAAGTACCCCAAGAATTCACTCACGAGCAGATATTGTCTGCAGTCATCAGATTCTGCAAGTTATCTTGTGTCTTGGCGGCGCAGTCGTCGCACCACAAATGAAACTCACCGCAGCCTAAATCACGCTATCAAAGTTCCGAAGTACTGCGGTATTTATAGAATAGCTACATACTCACATGGATCGTTAGCCGCTTGGTGGGCAGAACATCTTGCCTGGCGGGCAAGGGCGGGCTCTTTTCTTTAAAAGAGTAAATTGCCATCTGTGATGTTTTGTATGTTTCCATATTTCTATAACAACAAAGATAGCGCTACATCGTATATAGTTAGGTTTACACAAGTGCTATTCTTATCTATATATTTGTATTACTCTAATCTGTACCTTTAGTCTTAGATCAATAAAGAAATTGATATCGAAAACATGGGCTAATTCTTGACGCGCACTCACGCATATATCTTTCGTCTTTCTTTCTTTGATATACTCTAATAGTTACTGCTGCACACATATGCACCTAAAGGAATCATGTTGGTTTCGATTGATTTAAGGTACATATGTGTACGTGTAAAAGTGCGTATTCATACAAAAAGCTAAGCATTGTTCTGACTTGGTTTTGACGTCCCTTGAAATGTACACAGAACTCCGTCTTTCTTTCTTTTTTAGCTCGAGTTCACAGTTGATAGATCCGGAAATATTTGTAAATATTTAAAAAAATTGTGTTGTACAAAATCGATAATATACGAGTATTGTATCTTCTATCTTTAATATTTTCATATCGTTATCGAGTGTTGTATTATATTATTTTTGCATTATCTCTTAAACTATGCGTCCACATAACATGCTATAAAGGGCAAAGTTTATCTTCATATAATTGTCTTGATGATGAAGTGTTTTTTGTCTGTAAGGATTAATATGCTATTTTTAATTATAACGCTCATAAATCACTTTTAAACTCACCAATACCTTATTGTGGCTTATGTATAAGAAATAAATAGAGCAAAAAAAGTGATAGAGCGCTTTTACTTCCGAATTCTTTAACAAAAATCTAATGTAAGGCTAGCTGACAGGTGTAGCGTTATGCAAGATTAGCCCTTACTAATTCCTCATGAATCTGGCTATCATATACAAAAAGATTTTAAAGAAGATTTTAAATCGGACTGGTTGTTCTAGAGATTAGCGTGATAAAACAAACAAAAAAACTCTTCCGCTTTTTTAAATTAAGTACACATATATACAGGAAATACAGCAATAAACTACAAACATCCACACTTATTACAAGCCTCATTTCATAAAATGTTTAAGGATAGAAGCGGTCCGGCGTGCTGCCCCAATACGATTATTCAGCGTAAAATAGCAAATTAACATTGTTGTGTTTCGTATGGTGAGTGTAGAGAATCGGAGATCCTATTTACTGGAAAAGAGGCATTCCATCTTAGTCCTCACAGGTGACAACGCATCAGCATTTTGATTCTTTATTGAGTATAGATCTAGATGTCTATGAGTCACAACAACCACTTACTATCAGGTGAACTGTGTGCTTGTTTGTCACCCTATCCCTATCCTATTAAAAAAAAAGATAAAGTTTCAAATTTCTATAAAATGTTCCAACAGTAAACTATACACTAATTTACTATTGCCTTGGATTTTTCTATCAAGAAATTGTCAGTAACAGTTCAGAGTCAAGAAGTTGACGGTGGTTCACCCTCGTGCCTCGTAAAGCACGTAAAATCGTAGGTATTGCGCCTGATCTCTGTGGTCGTGTCAGATTTCCGTCCCATCGGACTACTAGTGAGAGGGAATAGAGAGTACTCCTGTGCTTGTGCATAAACTCTGGCACTATAATCCTGTCCTAGGCAGATGCCTAGTTTCCATGGAGGCTGGGCGCAGTGATCAAATTCGGTTAGGAGGAGAAAATAAACCATAAAATATAAGATGAATAAAATACAGATAAATAGGCAAAGGAGGTCTTTTTTACCTTACCAGCACTTTGAAGTTCACGCTGAAATACGAGTATAATAATAATTCATATAATGAACATATTCCTCGAAACCGTACACTAAAAAATAATGTTTCTATGAATAATGAACATAATGTTTCTAATTTCTAGACTGTGAAATTAAGTATTGCAAAATTTTTAACGAGCCTACTGTATTTGGGATACAACGTGTTTGAACTATTTGTATTTTGTCGTTGGTGCGACGAACTTAAGATGCAGGTCAGATTTTTATTTCAATTATTTTGCTCATCATCCATCTTTTCAATAGTTTTCACTGAGTTAGAGTATCTAACATTTTGTTGAAATTTGACTACATATACTCAGAAATGCAATTCATACGTACTTTAATATTTCATTATCATCACTGTATTTCTATGTTGTTGACTATCATAGCTAAACATAGGCCTTCGTTTAACGACTGGCACAATGTCACTTGGATCCGATTCCTTCATATCTCATTAGGTCGTTACCCTATATGCTAATATATTATGATAAATTACTAATTGATAATGCAATGTATAAAAATGACTTGACTTGATAATATGATTTCGAAATGTTAATACTTTGTTATTCAAATTGTCTTAATAATTACACGAAATAGACTATATTTCATGATACTATATTACATGTACGTTGTTGAAAGCAAGCCAACGCTTTTAATTGCACTCTAAACTTAATGCTCTCATGACAGCTTTTTATTAGTGATGAATCACTTGTGTTACGTTGTTAAATGAGTCAGAATCTGTTCACAGCTCAAGTCTCTTATGAAATAAAATCCTGTATTTATCAAATATCGATCGCTGAACTGTATAATGATATTATATACATAATATTAATACGATTATTGATAATAGTTGCTTGCTATTCATACTCTATTAACCTATCCGTGTAAGACTGTTAAAGTGTCAATAATGATGTTAAATAAACAGCTAGGAGTCGAATCCATGACCCGCGGCTTAGTAATTAGATACTAAATCCAGGTATTCTCCCGCCAATGTAAATAAATGACGAAAAAAGGAACGCTCCAATCTCAAAAATAATTCATATTCGGATGGTATTGCCCTCAATCGAAAGCCACAAAACATCTGGATATTTTGTGCTCTGTTGTTTTTTCTTATTCCGCCACCTGACAGCTGAATAAACAGATAAATTTAATTATGGATTTTTCAGTCTAGACGCTTTATTATCTCCGCCAAAATTGTCTCTGTTTTCAGCCTGAGGGTTATTTTGTTTCGTATAGTTATCTGCTGTGCTTGCGTGTACATTGACAGCACATTAAGTTACCGTGCGCAGTTGCACAACCACATCATGATCATTTACAATATTAGTGCTCATAGCTTGTTATCAGACTTTTCAGAACATTCAGACTATATTAAAAGCATATTATGATTTTTTTAGAGTGAAAACATTGGCAAAGCAGTGTACTCTTCAAATTGGAACTGCGGGCTTGTGCTGATATCTGGTGTACGGTCTCGCATCCTTCTCGTCACAGCCAGGGCTCAGAAACCGCTTGTTTTGTCTGCTGGAGGATTTTGCGATGTCTCCCTGGTCACATTCACTACTGTATGTATTATTGTGGTAATGTTAAAAGTAATCATTTATTTTTGTTTAAACTGTAATTGATTCCCTCCATTTCGTAAGGCGTAGAGGTAAAGGTGAAAGGGGAGGAGGACTCCAAATGTCCACCTAAACGCATAGCAGCCTGTTGATAGAGACGGAAAAGGTGCTGCCTTATTTGCCTTATATGTCCAAAGCATTATGATTTCAACTTCTATCAGCAGCCAGCTTCAGAATTACCTCAAAACACTGACCACTTAGACCGACCATGATGTGAGAAAACCCTTGAGATCGTTATTAGTATACTTAAAGCAAAAACGTGCTGATGCGTGGTGATTTTCAAATTACGTTTTATTTTACCAATACTTACTTACTTATCTTCACGCACAATCCCTGACGGGGTAGCCAGAGAGAACAGATCGCCAAGAGTCACGATCCTTACATACCTCTTTCGCTTCTTTCAGATTCATTATCTTCTTCATACATGCACGTCTAGGTATCCGAGTACTCTTGACCCGCGCTATATATTTTCTTCACCATTCGGTCTTCACTCATTCGCTCAACGTGCCCAAACCACCGAAGCACGACCTTATCAATTTTTGTGATAAGGTCATCTTTCAAACCTGCCATATTGCGAATCTCTTCGTTTCGCTTTCGGTCGGCCATGGTAACGCCGCACATTTTACGAAGAGATCGCATCTCCACTGCATTCAACTTGCTTTTATGCTTCTTCTGGCATACCCAGGTTTCGCTGCCATATAACAAAGTCGGTACCAACACTGCGTTATGTATTGCAAGGCGTGCACTCTTCACTACGCCTTGCCTTTTGACTAACGCAGTCAGGGCACCATTGACTTTGTTCCCGGCAGCGACACGCCTGTCCACATCTAAATCAAATCTTCCATCCCGGCTAAAAGCACTCCTCAAGTATACAATTTCATTTACTTGTTCTAGACATTCCTGATTTACCCATATTTCACACTTCGTTCTCTCTTCGTCCCTTAATTTCACATTCCTCTTTCATACACGTGACTAATGCCTGCAGTTCTGCCTCTGATGGTGCAATAAGCACTGCATCATCAGCATACAGCAGACAATTTACTTTTATGTCACCCAATTTCACACCCAAACAGCTATCTTTCAGCTTTTGTAAACAGCTGTCGAGATACAGTATGAACAGCCAGGAAGACATGACACAACCCTGTTTTACGCCCGTTTGGACGCTAAACATGGGTGACAGGTCATGCCCTACCCGCACACAGGCTTTACAGTCACAGTAAAGAGACTGCACAGCCCTTAGCAATCGGCCATCCACACCATACCCCGGCAACAGTTCCCACATTTTCTTCAATATATTATTATACTATAATATATTATTATACTACTATTTTACCAATAGTAGTATAATAATATATTCAACAATAATGTATGCAACAAACATTCTTGGGCGCAGTATATGCAATCCTTGGCGTATTTTTAGAAAGGTTTATGTCAGACACTGGACTTAAGCTTTTTTGATTGTTTTTAAAGTAGGTGACAAGCTCTCTTTTGCTGTTGCTCAAATTTTGTCATTCCTGTGGACTGATTTGTAATGAATTGTTACTAATAAAAAGGGTATTCGGTTCTCCTTATTAACTATTAAAAACTCAGCATAATTTTCATGTTATTTACGATGGTATTCCGTGCAAGCGTACCTTGGTATTTTCCGGTTGAAATATTAAAAATATGCTGTAGCATGGAAATAAGAGTTAAACATGCTGTGTGTTATATAATTTAAAGCTAAATTAGCAATCATCGCCTTCTTTAACAATCCTGTTAAGTCCACTGCTGGACATAGGCTGCACCAAGAATGCGCTAGCATCCTCTCCACTTTGGTGAGCGTAAAGTCGAAACTCTAGTCGAGTTCAAATCTTAGTTTAATTTTTGATGGACTAATATTAAAAGTCTAAGAGTTGAGATATATTTTCCACCATCATTCGTTCATCAGACGCACTTCTTTTAGTCATTAGGGTAATGATGGAGGTGGAACTGTTAAGAAAATTAAGTGTTAACTCCCCCTTGCACGCTAACAAAAATAAATTTGTGTTTTTATTCTTACTCAGCCTTTATTTTTATATTCTTTGCAGTTGGTGAAAACTTCCTACAGCGCTCTTACTGTTTTGCTTCGCTTTCAAGATTAATGCGTTATTCTATACCATAGGGATTTTATACCTCTCCAAGTTGTTCGCGTAAATATTTTTCTGATGTCAGACAACAAAGAGAACAATGACTATAAATTAGAACATAGAAATGTGTACGAGTAAACAAAGCTTGTACTTGTATTGCGTCATAATCATAAGTCATTATATATGACTTTATTAAAAAAAATGTAAATATTATTAATTTATGTATGATAAAAGAGGGTTCTTAAATAATAATAAATATCACAGGGAAGTTTAATTTCATTACGCAAGAAAACAAAATTAAATTTATTCTTATAACAATCTTAATAAGAAAATTTTAAGTCGCATTTTATGATTATTGTCTAGAATTTCAAAAGCTGTCCTGACATTTTATTACATTCCATAAAATTTGGGTTCGTTAACGGCTGCGGAGTTTATGGCACTAAAGATATTTTGTAAGCTGCCTACCAAACGATTTTCAATTTAGGGCTATAAAAATAATTTGATACAGTATATGACAGGGCTAAAAGAAAACATGAATTTACGAATGATTTTATTGTTTCAAAATTTTATATTGATTAAAGTATTCATATATTTAAATGCCTTTTAATAAAATTTCGGTGTTTAAAGGTTGTTAAGAAGTGTATTTCATAATTTGCTTTGAAACTAGTTTTTATTAAGTACGCTTTCTTGTTAGTCTATTTGTCTTTTCGGTGCGAATTTCGCAATGGATTCTGTTTAGAATTACTTTTCATTTTCGAAATTCTTTCAGAATTGGATCATCATCTTCATAAAGTCCAATTTTGAACATAGTCTTCACAAAAGAATGCCACAAAATACGATCCTGAGTGACCTGCGCTTATCGATTTCCTGCATCACTTACCATACCACTCCATATAGTGGGGGGCCGCCTTACATTTTACTTACTAGTACGAGGCTGCCACTCGAGAATCTTTCTTCCCCATCGGTTATCGGTCTGTCGAGGTGGCCTATTGCCACTTCTATAGATCATTTGATCCAGATATAGACGACGGACTAAAAAGCATAAAACAATTATTCAAATTAAATATTTTTTTGAATAAAAGAGTGTAGGATCCGCAACTCTCTTCCTGCGACATATTAATGATCAGCTTATGCCCGGTATCTATGCGTATTCAGACGATAGCACAATTGTAGAGAAATACCAACCAAGTCCCAGTAAGGCCAGTCGAGATCAAATCCAGTCCGAAAGAGATGTTATGGTAGAGCGTGTGAATCTCATACTACAAGCAGTCTCCGAATGGGGCGAAGCCAATCTTGTGAAATTCAACGCCTGCAAAAACACAAGCGCAAAAAGGAGCCAGCTCACCTTGACTCTCTCTTTTTTTATAGAATAAGAGTAACAAGCACACAGTCCACGTGATGGGGACTGGTTGGGGGACAATTTCCAATAAGTTTACGATGTGCGGGCGGACAGACGATATCAAAATTGAGAAAGTATTTATGGATATAACCATGTATCACTAATTAATAAACAATTTTTAATTTATAATTTGTAGATTTATAAAACTTTTCTACAGAAAACAATATTTTCATCAATATACGGTAATAAACTGACATCTCAACGTCTTCATATTTTAATTCGTTTAGTGATAAAGTTTCATTATTTAAAGCTGGATGCCATCATTTTAATGATTAAGATATTTTTGATTTGAACATACGTTAGTAATATTCAATTTGTAAATGATTACTCAAACTTTACGCAATAGTGAAATAAAATACGCATCGGCCAGCTTATCAGTTTTAAGGTGACCACAGTGCACGAGCCAGTATAGCGCCAAAAGAAAATTTTTGTTTTTTAAAAGTAATTTCTGTTTTTTCATGTTACTACGTTAGAATTATTTAATAATAAGTCAAGAAATACGATTATGTAAATGGAAGTAACTTTTAATATTTAATTTATTTATTAGAACATCAGTATGCCTAGTAAATTATATTCTTGATAATCGATTTATAATTTGCGGAACATACCGCATGAAATTTATAATTAGTGATGGTATTCTTCTGCAACAATTTGTTTTAAATATCAGTCTTTCGTTTATAATAATATGATTTAATTGTATCATAAAAGAATGTCAAAAGTTCATCATCATCATTAGAACCTATGAAAAGTTCAGAGTTGGCACGCATGGCACGCGGGTTGGCAACTGTAGTTTTTAAATTTCTTGATGTTATTAGAGAGGCAGAACAGTCTATCTTCTGGTTTGTATCCATTTGTCACCTTTTACTACACATCACGAGACGATATAGAGTATGGGACTTTCTTACACTGTCAGTACTCGATTTCAAAATTCATATATATACTACTAATATTTTTGATATTTTGTAATTGAAACATAATATTGAATTACTAATGCCGTGTTTAGGGTGACAAAGAAAAACTTTGCGAGGAAAATAAGCTAATTTGACATTAAAAATATTTCTGGACTTAACTTTTTCCAAGTCCCTGCATATTTTAACAAATAAACTAATTCTTCTTCTTCTTCAGCGATATAAAGAAACATACATAATATTTCATTTTGTATTTGCATACATATATATATATATATATATATATATATACATATATATATATATATACACACCTACTGCAGAAAATCATACTTCTCCTTGTAGGCAGTCGATAAATAAAATACGGCGTTATAATTAGTGGCACGTAGATAGCAATTTCAGATTATAGTAACCGCACTGCTTCCTCGACGTCCATAAAATGTTTTCCTCGAAGTTTTTCTTTTATTATCGGAAATAAATAGAGAAATAGCAAGGTGCGATCGGGGCTATAGGGTGGGTGACTCAGTAATTCCACGTCTGACGTCGCCAAGAAGTCGATTGTTTGCTTGGCGGTGTACAACGTGGCGTTGTCGTGGTGAAGGAGAATCCTACTGTGAGGTCGTTTCTCCCGAACATTTTCCAACCACTCTGCAGTAACTATTTTTCGATGCTCTAAAACAATTCTTGCGTAATGACCTGTCCTTCCGACGAACGAAGCCACCATCTTTTCTAAGCTTGTTCGAATATGCTGATAAATCATCCTTTTATCAGACTCTATCATACGTCGCACAACACTGATGTTATCTTCAGGCGTTGCGGTAGAAGGCCGTCCTTTACGCAGATCATCGATGAGATTAGTGCGACAACGTTTAAACTCATTAAACCTACCATTATACCTATTAGTACATAGTGGCACAAGATGGGACTTCATCGTGAAAGGCCAATCGAAGTCTATCATAACTTTCTTGTTGACTTAATTGACATCGAAAGTCGTAAAAAATCATTGTACGAAAATTTGCTTGCGTTAAATTTATGTTGGCTTGACACAGACCATTTTCAATTTACTGTCAAATTGTAAACAAATGATAAATTAATGAAATACATACACAATAATTTTGCAAAGAGTTCCGTTTTCAAGATTTGTACTTATTTTTTTTATTATATCGTTTAGAAGTGGCCACTTCTAAAAACTTTCAGTGTCGACCTCCTAAATATTCTGATACTGAAAAAAAAGTAAAACCTTTATTAAAATCTGGTAGAATATTAGACCCCGCCAATTTGAAGGTCAATTTCTGTACAGCTAACACTTAGTAAGATTTATGAAAAAAATATTCTTGATCAAATGTTTTTTTTTATTTAATCAGTTTACTTCATAAAAATCAATTCGGTTTCACAAGGGATCGCTCGACAACTGATGCTGGTGTTGAGCTGATTAATTTTTTTTTATATAGAATAAGGGTGACAAGCGAGCACACAGTCTAGCTGATGGTAAGTGGTTACTGTAACCCATAGACACATACATTCGATTACAAATCAAAATGCAGATGCGTCGTCACCCGTGAGGACTAAGATGGAATGCCTCATTTCTATTAAAATAGGTCTCCGGTTCTCTACACTCACCATACGAAAGACAGCAGTGTTAAGCTGCTATTTTACGCTGGTATTCTGTGAGAGCGTGGTGCTCCCCCGGTCGAGCCGACCTATTCGTGCTACAACTATATCATTAATATAGCATAGCTCTACCACGTCAAATATCAATTTCATTGCATTAGAGAATTCACAGGATGGCGCTCTTATTTCCACGTTTTGCTGAATACTCAGCACCGGGAAGTGCACCCTCCCGAACAACTCCCGAACCATGGACTCGTGCCACCAATTACACCTGACGAGGTCCTCGCATCTCTTCGTCACATGGAGAATCGGAAAGCTGTCTGACCGGACGAGGTGCCAATTGAAGCGTGGAAAGCGCTGGGGGCTCGTGGTGTGTGCATTCTTACTAACCTTTATAATAGAATCCTGAGCGACCGAATAATGCCCGATCAGTGGCGACTTAGTATAATAACGCCGGTCCACAAGGGTAAAGGGTCCGTTCAGGATTGCGGTAATTACCGCGGTATAAAGGTGATGTCACACACCATGAAGCTCTTCGAGCGCATTATTGACGCCAGGATCCGACAGGAGTGTACAGTGTCGGACTTCCAGTACGGTTTCCAACCAGGACGCGGTACCATGGACCCTATATTCGCCCTAAGGATCCTCATGGAGAAGCACAGGGAAAAGAATATGCCTCTGCATTTTTTATTCCTAGACCTGCAGAAGGCCTTTGACTGTGTTCCTAGGGAGATGATCTGGTGGGCGTTGCGGTCGAAGTTGGTACCAGAGACCTACGTGGAAATCGTACGTGACATGTACCGCAACTCCGATTCAATAGTCAGGACCGCTGTTGGTGATACCACCCCCTTCCCCATAACTATAGGCGTGCATCAGGGCTCCGTCTTAAGCCCCTATCTCTTCAGTGTGATATTAGACGAACTGTCAGCCAGCGTACAGAAACTACCGCAGCCTTGGCTGCTTATGTACGCTGATGATATTGCACTGGTAGATAAGGACAAAGGACGGCTCACCAGACGCGTGCACGCATGGAGGGAGGCGCTTGAGAACGGCGGGCTGAAGCTAAACGTGACGAAGACGGAGTATATGGCCTGTAA